CCAAAGGACTTTTACTTTATTTTTGAAAACATCACCAATCAAATTGTGTTTATTGAATGAGGAGACGACCTTAGATTTGTTTCTTATGCTTGGGAAGCTTATAGTTATATGTTGAGGAGAAGTGATTTATTAAAAAGTAACAAGTATTTTTGGCGTCGTTCTCAGGGAATAACGGTTCAATTTGAAAAGTGATTTGGATTGATTATAAATAAGTTTTGTGATTTTCATCACGAGTCCAGGTACATCCTTCCTCTGTAAATTATTAGAATTTTTTTTATTTTCTTTGTAAAAAAGTTTCTACATTTTCAATATTTTTTTATATGGTGTTAAATACTTCATTTGTGGAGTATACGCATTTCAATTCTAACGGTTCGAAAGTTTTATTGGGATCAATCTAATACAATACCTAATTTTCAACAATTTTACCTAAATTATTTCTTTAAAACTTTTTATCCAGATTTTAATTGAAGAAGTGAATATTATCGGTTATCGGTCCATTTCACGTCACCACAAAGAGCCCCTCAAATATCTTCCATTCCATGGCCCACAAAAAAAGAAAAAGAATTTGAAAAATATTATCGACGAAGTTAAGCAAACCCCATTGATTATCAATGCCCAAATGAGAAGATTTGAAAGAGTCAAAACTTTCTAGTATCAGATGGGTGGTGGGGTCTAGCGTTAATTATACACTACTGTATTATCTGTCTGAATTATAAATAATATGTTTGGAAAACTTAAATATAAGACTTTAATCGGTAACTTTGAATGTCAAAAATTAGAAGAACAATTTTTTAATCAGAAAAAATTATATTAGCATTAAAAGTGAAAAAAAAAATCTCTTGTAAACTATCGTTTTAAGGGATAAAGCTACGGTACTACCGAGTTACTATGCTAAAAATTAATTTGAACTATTGATTTTGATTAAGATGATTGTAACCAATAATTTAAGGAATAGTGAAGTAATAAAAAATATTAGAATAACTAAAATTACATGTGACTCATTTTTTATTTAATGAAAAATATATGGTTGATAAAGAAAAATGGTATTTTAACAATATAATCGGATCCGAATTTTAAGACTCAAATACTCTCAAACAACCTTATACCTATGACTAAACATAAATTATAAATGTATTAAAGTTTGAAACCAATATTAATATTTCAATAATACTATACATATCATCTTCTTATACTATCTTTGTGTACGGCTTCAAAATAGACCCACAAATTAGTATAACATTATTCTTAATATTTTACGATGTACAGAAATTTAAGTTGGGGAAGGCTCGTGCGGCGGGCGTGAGCGATATATAGCATATTAAGGTGTGATTCCAGTTGGACTTTTGTCGCTGGGTAATTAAATTAAGTTATCCATTTATAGTTGTCATGACTATGAGTCATCACCAACTTTGTGCTTAGTCATGCCTATCCACTTACACATTGACAGCTGGCGTCCTCTTCCCCCTCACGTGTCACCTTCCAAACCCTACTGTCTCTCCTCCCCTGCCCCGTCGACTCAGACCACCAACTACTACCCCGCCTTCCCATCGGACAAAAGCCCCACCAAAGAGCACATCTCTCTCTCTCTCTCTCTTTAAAACACACAGGCACACGGACTTGATTGACAGTACCAAAAAGTACTACTAACCCTAGCTTATTGGCCGTTAGATCTCTCTCTCTCTTTCTCATGTTTCACTAAACGCGAAGTAAATATAGAAAGGGGTGAGTTTGTTTCTATAATTAACAAATCTCTTCCGTCCCACTTGGACTTCCGTATTCCAGCTCACTCCTTCTCTCTAACCAGGTCAGTGAATTCTCTCTCCTTCAATTTTTTTCCCGATTTTGTCCATGTTTTCGGGTGTAAATACGTTTAGAAGTTTTTGGAGCGATGCTTTGCGCTGCTTTTGGTTTTTATTGGGAGAATTAAGCTACGGATCTCAAAGTTCTGAGCTTTATTTTAGATAAGTAAGCTGAATTACGTGAAATTGAAAACTATTTGCTTCTTTATGCAGTTCTGATTTTTAGTTCTGCAGTTTTCACTTTTGTGGTTAACCAATTCATTCTTTGAGTTACAAGTACTTCTCTAGAGGGAAGACAAACGTGTATATCCCCTGCCACTGATTCTATAGGATGGATTTACTTTGTCAAGTATGTACCTTCATATCGATTACGCAAAAAAGGACATAAATAGTTTCTGAAGCAATTCATTCACTGCAATAAGAGAATATCCAATTATGGTCATCAATGATGTCTTCTGTTTGTCAATCAACAGTAATACTGGTTTTTGGAAAATATTGACTAGGAACAGAACAGGATCTATTACACTTGACGACCCTTTCTCTTGTTTACAGGAGAATGGGATGTTTGGAAAGCATTAAGTGCTTCAATAATATCATTCAAGCATGCCATTGTTCTTTTATAAGTCAAGTAAAAGGTGTAAGAAAAATACAGAAACAACAAAGATCTGAATGGACTTCAATGGTGTTGAATTTGTAGTCTTTTTTCAAATATTATCATAAAATGGTGTTACAATAAAGTAGGAGAGGAATAGAGATCTCTTGAGTTATCTGTGGAGGGAAAGATCTGATATAGTTCCAAACAGAATGTATCATATTGTATTTCAAACTCTAAATCTTTATTACAGAAAATGTTCTTGCATACACCTTTTTATATTTATAGTGTTTTAATCAGTGTGGCTAAAAGTTCTGTATCTTGTAGGAAGTAATGTTCATTATTTTGGCCTTAGAAATCAGGCAATTTGGTGAATTAATTTTCTATTTGGTACAAGACACACATAAAAGTACATACCTCTGGATTGAACAAGTGTATAAGTAATTGGGGCTAAGGCCATATGTGCTGTTGCTTTAATTATACGCAAATCCAGGTTAGAGAGCTAACTTGCTGTCTAGATATTTCACTTTTTATTAATTTTATTTTCTCATACGTTAACATGCGAGGAGAGGTATCATGAATGATTGTGGATATCTTTTTCGGACAATTCCCGTCCTTCTTTAAGTAAATGATGATCCCACTTTTAGGGGTGTCAACTCTCACCAGTTGATACGGAACCGACACGAACGATTATAAAATTAACACGATTATTAAATACGCATAATAAATAGTTTAGACTAATATTTAATACTCAAAAGTCAAAATACACTAATTAGATTTTTTTTTCGAGGTCTTGACATGAACAAGACACGAATAGCAATGATACGATACGAATAACATGATATATGGGTCACACAAACACAACACGTTTGACGCCCCACTTCCAAATACATTCAAATGGGTCTGATAAGAATGTCAAAAATGTGGACAAAGCATTGGATGCCCACCTTAGGTTTGTGCAATAACAACTGTTGATCTAATGATTACTACTGTTTTGGCTAAAGGAAAAGTTATTCATAAATAGCCATCTTAAGTTCATGAAATATATTTTTGAATATTCTGGTGACATAATAGTGCTTGATGAGTTCTATTCTTTCAGGATTATAGTTATATGGTCTAAAAAAGATGAAATACGAAAACTAAGTGAATGAGATTTTTTCTCTTTTGAATGGAACTTGATTTAGTACAGATTCATAACCTGAGAAACTTCACCTTATACTATTGCCAAGTGTCTTGAAAAGTAAGTATTAAAAAGAGAAAAGGGGTAAAAATAGAAAAATAAATTTTGATAAAAGAAAATTTTATTATAGAAAGAAATCAAGAACAAAATACAATGTTGAACAAGATATCCTCAAAAAAAAAAAAAAAAAAAAAAAAAAAAAAAAAAAAAAAAAAAAAAAATA